GCTGGTTCTTCCTGGGCTACCAATATGATTGGAGGGATTTGGATCCTAGCCCAGGACGAAGCTTCACGTCGTGTTTCAATAGGGTGATTCACATACAGTTTGCCTTGCATTGAATACACCACAGTTGCCACAGTTGTCATACCTGGCCGCCAGCAGGGGGGTCCAGGTCCTTGTCCTGGAGTTTGTCCTGGTCCTTGTCCCAGAAGTGATGTCATCGCACAGGGCACATTGGAGGGGACGTTCTTTTGTTTAAGGAAAAACTCTGTGGTTTTTCCTTAAACGATCAACCTTGCAACATCACCTCTGGGTGATCTCATTGTGCTGGGCGCATTGCTGCAAACAGGGTGCTTTGGGGGCGGGGTTCCCCCCCAGCCAGATCAGGGCCAGCGGATCTGGGGGCCTGAAAGCAGGCAACCCCCTGCCCCCATTGGGGAAATGGCAGACCTACTGCTGGTATTTCAAGGAGGTCTCCCATCCAAGTACTTGCCAGAGCCTCTAAGATCTGACGAGATCAAGCTTGCCTGGACTATCCAGGTCAGGGCGATTCATTGATTGGAGAAAGAAACAACAATGGCATTCTTAAAGGACAGCTCATATACAAGACAGCTTCCATGCAATCTTCTTGGGAGGCCACGAAAGCTGGGCTTGCATCTTCATGTGGGTTGTGACCAGGCCAAAAAGAGAGAGAAGAAGAGAGAAAAGCAGGGGGTGACAATCCAAGGTCATGAAAATGGGGGCAACTATGTATAGACACCATCCATTTGGAAACACTGAAATGGTATCTCCTTGCAAGCCTGCTGGTGAGTTCCTCTATGAGTTTGACATGTGGTCGTGAGACAATCCTGGGGTTGCCTCAAGAGTCAACTGGTCCCTTGAGGGAAGGGGGAATTCAAATTAAACGGACAATGTAGGATAATTTTCACAACTCTATTTATTTCATCGGGCTTCTAGCCCTCCATCCCCCACACAGCAGGCTCAGGGTGGGTTACAACATTCTTAAAAACATACAAAAATTTAAAACAGAAGATAGCCGTAACACAGCTACAAAACAGTATCACTATATAAAAACCTTAAGAGGCGCCAACAAGACAATGTACTGAATTGGAGGAAGCTCCCATTGCTATATAGCTGCAGATCTAAACAATACAAGGGAAGCGGGTGAGAGAGTAAGCAGCTATGATGGACCAACATGTTGCTAGACAAAGCTAAGCTAAACAGGGCGGAGCAAAGCAGGGGAGACCATTCTAGTTGGATTGTTGCCATAGGCCTGGCAGAACTGTTATCAGATCCCGCAGGGCCCGGATCTCACTAGGGAGAGCGTTCCACCAGGCTGGTACCAGATCGGAGAAAACTCTGGTTGAGGCTAGGCGGACATCTTCATGGCTGGGGATGACCAGTAGATGTTGAGCAGAACCTTTTGTGTAGAGAAGCCAAGTGGTCTGGCGGTGCAGAGCTCTTCTGGTGCTCCAACGGATGCTGAGATTGTGATTCACAGCGTCCTTGCTGACTCGGCTTGTCAGAGCTTCTCAAGGGCATGCATGAGCTCATCATGGGTGAGATCATCAAGGAGGCCTCAGTTTTGACACACCAGGATTAACATGTATCACCATGTGTGCTAATCAGAATTTGCAGTCGTCACGGCTGACTTTCTGAAAGATGCTGCTCGTAAGCAGAAATCTTGCATCATCTTACAAAGATTAGCAAGCCATTATTCTTGCATAAACATTCATGGACTAGAGCCCACACTGCAGCAAAAATAAATACGAGTCTTCTTCAGGTGCCGCAAGACTCCTGTTGGTTTGTGCCGCAGACATGAACTTGTGTCTTGTTCTGTCTAATTACAGGCTTGTGTAGACTTGGTTTTCTGTGGGGTCATGCAGGGGACAGGGTGTTAGCCTTTCAACCTTTACTCAGTTCTGGTATTCAGAACTGGCTGTGCTGACATTTTAAAGGAGAAAAAACGTGTCCTTTAAAAAAGAAACACACACTCAAAACCACCAACAAAGCAGGGAGCTCGGTTTCACATACCGAAACGAAGAGGATGTTGAAAAGCTAAACCTCTTCTGCCTGCACAGACCTGAGGCAAACTGAAGACCATTTCTGCAGTAGTGAAATTCCCCGCATCGACGTCTTAAAAACTGCCCCTTATGTGAAATTTTCCGCAGTAGATTTTTTCCCTCATCAGGAGCAAACCCGATGTTTTTCTCCTTCTTACCCCATGTTTTCGGAATCTCCAGTTTTAGCGAGTTCCAAAACTGTGGGGTAAGAAGGAGAAAAGTTTGGGTTTGTGCCTGGTGAGGAAAATTCTAGTGTGGAAAATTTTATATAAGGCGCAGTGTATAGATTTCTACTCCCAAGCCTGTCGAGGAATGAGGGAGAAACCAATATTTTTCAGTACATTTAACAACAACCCAGAGAGGTAGGCTGCCCTCTCTGGATTCAGAACAATAGCCACCAGAATCCCTTTTTAACTAGTCCCGGCTTTCCCCAAGGGAGGGATTCCAAATCTTTAGGTTAGCCTCTGGGACATAACACATTGAACAACTCAGTCTAGAGCTGCACAGTTAATCTTACCAAGGTAGCTTGTATGGTGAGCAGAAGGCACAGGAGTTTAGCCTTGGAATCCCGTTACAACATCAAACAAGTTAGAAACAAGAATAATATTTTATTCAGTTCAGAGCTTTGCAATTAGACTAATAAGGATTTCAAAACAAGAAAGACTAGGGCAGTTTTTGCCTTCATTACACAGTAAGAGATATGCATAATTACCAGGATGATCCATAGCCCAAGAATGTCCAGATATACAGTCCAGTTAGACACCAAGGGATTCTGAGGGAAAATCCCCCTTGTGCACCAGCCATGTGCTCAGCTTCACAAAGGAGGTCTTTGTTTCACCTGGGACAGCATTTCCCAGTGCAATTCAAACAAGTAGAGAGGGAGCAAGAACAGAGAGCTCTCTTCCAAGGGACCAGACAATTATAGCCCAATTCCATTCATGACCAGCCGTGGCCATCAGCCAATCACAAGTAGCAGGGTGTGTGACCAATTTTTGGTTGTCATGGGGACAACTGGGGATAGGCTGGGGGCTTGGAAACCATGCTTGCAGTCATGTGACTCCCAAACCCCAAACGTCATTGCGTACGTGACTGTTTGCCTGAGGTCTGCCATTTGGCATGATGTGAAAGAATGTGGGTTTATGGCATGCTATTGAGGCCATCTGGGCCTCACCATTTGGCTTGCAAGAGGAAGTAAGCCACAGCGTTATCAAAGACAGAACAGGAGAAGGCAGAACGTTTTTAGAAATCAATATTTCTATACACGCAGTTTTAAAAACATCGATGCGGGGAATTTCACTACTGCAGAAATGGTCAGAGGCTGTCCTAGTCTGCAGTTCATGTGTTACTGATAAAATGAAAAGTGTGGTCTTGATCTTGTCTGGCTGAGCACAGATAATGGCTTTTCAGAGATTTGCTGTGCCATCCTAATGGTGTAAGTCTTCTTGGGATGGTGTTGGTAGAGGTTTTGTCGGAGTGGTCAAACTTTTGTACTTTTCTGTAGCTCTTTGACAGGATTAGCCCCTTGAAGTCCAGCCTAGTGTTGTAGTGGTGGACATTTTGGCTCCTGCATACATTTTGGTGTGATCTCTTGAACAGCGCATTGTTTCTCAGCTGTGTGGCCAAGACCTGGGGTGGGGACATGGCTTACTGTTAGAGCATCTGCTTTGTGTGTAGAAAGTCCCCAGTTCAGTAACTGGCATCTCCTATTAAAAGGGTCAACTACTGGGTGATATCTAAACTTCTACCTGAGACCCTGGAGAGCCTCTGCCAGTCAGAGTAGGCAACGCTGAACTCGACAGACAAACGGTCTGACTGGAGAATAAGGCACGTTCACGTGAGCCGCAAGTGGTCACACACTGACTTACACCAGTGGCCTTGATCACCATTTTTCTTCTTTATGATGCCTCTGTTTATTAACAAGGTATTAACAAAGGTATTGGAGCTGCGGTGGCTCAAGTGGTTAAGACGCTGAACGGCAGGCTGTGGAAGGTCGGTAGTTCAGCAGTTCGAGACCCGAGTGTGCCGCATGACGGAGTGAGCTCCCGTCTCTAGTTCCAGCTCCTGCCAACCTAGCAGTTCGAAAGCAAGAAATTGCAAGTAGATAAATAGGTACCACTTCAGTGGGAAGGTAACAGTGTTCCGTGCGCCTCGGTGTTTAGTCATGCCGGCCACATGACCACGGAAATGTCTTCGGACAGCGCTGGCTCTTCGGCTTTGAAACGGTGATGAGCACTGCAACCCTAGTCGGATTCAACTGGCTTTTGAGCAAGGGAAACCTTTACCTTTATTAACAAAGGAGGACTTGTTTAGCTTAAATCAGGCATCCCAAACATGGTGCCCGTGAGTGCAACGGCAGCTAGCAACACCATTCCTGGCACCGGCCAAGTACTTTTAGAAAGTGGGCAGGGTCAGGTGGGCTTTTTTGCACACTAAGGCTTCTCAGTTGCCATTGGAGAGATGATTTCCTGTGCAGATTTTTAAAAATGTTGCTCTGGCAGCAGATGCCACCTCAGCGCAAAGGTCTTCCTTCTTGGTGTAGTGGTTAAGAGCGGTGGACTCTAATCTGGAGAACTGGATTTAGTTCCCCACTCCTTCACATGCAGCCAGCTGGGTGACCTTGGGTCAGTCACAGGTCCCTCAGAGCTCTCTCAGCCCCACCTACCCCAGCCCCACCTAAAATGGCTGCTCTGGCGGTTGGACTCTATGGTGTTTTACTCTGCTGAGGTCCCTCCCCAAACCCCTGCCCTCCTGAGGCTCCACTCCCAAATCTCCAGGAATTTCCCAGCCTGGGGTTGGCAACCCTAATTCTACCTCAGGAATAACGGTCTGTGCTGTCAACAGGGACTTGCTTGCTTGTGTCATGCAGGGGCCCTTTTTCCAGTGCTTCAGCTGTCAGGGCCTGCGTCACTGCCTCTATGTCATTTCATTTCATTTCTTTGGCAGATGTTGACCGGCCGCGTCGATTACTATTTACGTGACCATGTTGTCGGCATCACACTGGAGGAGCCTCCGCCAGACGCTGCTGGTGCTCTTCACATCCGCGCTCCTCATTGGCATCACCATGCTGGCCATCTCCTCCAACATCAATCCCGTGGGGTTTTTCTTCCTGGGAGTGGGGGGCCTGTGCTTGGTCGGCTACCTCATCAGTCTGGTGGTCGAGTATTACCTGAAGCCAGAGGATTCAACGGATGAGACTCGCTCAGCCTCAAGGAGACAAAGTCATGCAGCGTGAGTATCTGCATCTTTATCCCCTCCCCTTTGCAAAGCCACAGGCAATTTGGAGCTAGACCACACAAATGGTAAATAATATAATAATAATAATAATAATAATAATAATAATAATAATAATAATACTTTCAACTTATTAATCGCTTTCCCCAGTGGGCTCAAAGCAATGTACAGTTACACATTTTAGACAGGGGACTAACAATGTTCATAGGGGATAGGGAAGACAACATATATTCAATTGCACACGCTGTCACTGCACGGTGTAAACGTCTTCTGGCTTGGCTCAGTCATTTTCCGAATGGCTGCTTGTCGACCAGGCTTCAGGACCCGTATGTCAAATCGCCACACTGCCACCGCCTGGCCGGAAACATCCACTGCAGGGATTTTTGTAGCCGAGAAGTTCTTCCGCCTTTTCCGAACCTCGACCAGGACGTCCCGACCGTCAGCTAACACCCTCCCACAAGGGAGATTGGTGTGCCCACCCTCTCTAAGGAGTGGTTCCCATTTTATCTACTCGCCGAAGCTTTCGAATCGCTGGGTGGACGATGAGCTGGGGACAACAGGCTGGCTGCTCACACCAGTGCGGGGCTCGAACTAAACACAGTTCGGATGTTAAAACAGTGGGATATACCCACTGTGCCACTGCTCCCCTCATAATGTGGTAGAGGAGGGGTTCCCAACCTTTCCGAGCCTGTGGGTACCTTTGGAAATCTGGCACAGGGTGGTGGGCACAACCACAACACGGCTGCCACCAGAAATGGAGCCTGGGTGGGTTGCTTGCATACAGCTGTGCTGATGCCTTGCTTAATCCCTTCCTTGCTTAAGTGGGGAACTATTGCAATGGCTTATTTTAACCACAATCCCCCTTTTCTTTCCCGCAGAGTCAATGAGGTGTATGAAGCACCAACGTACGAGGAGGTGGTGGGAACCAGCCAGGTATCAATCCCGACGTTCTGGACCATCACCTCTGGCACGCCAACCTCCCAAGGGGACCCCCCTCCCTACAGCGTGGTCATTGAGCCACCTACCCACAGCGAGACTGTCGTCGAGGCATTCAGCGTCTCAGTGGCCCCGGGCACACGGCGTGCCTCCGAAGCAGATATGCACTCAAGGCTACGCCTCAGGCTGGTGCTCCCGCCAAGGCTGCAGCGATTTGTCTCGGATAACCAGGAACTCAAAGATGCCGAAGAGCACGTGGAACGTCTGGAGCCGCTCACGCCGCCTCCTGCTTATGACAACGTAACTGGCGACGAAGTCTTTGAAGAAGAAGTCCAGCCCACAAGGCTATGACCAAATGGCTGGGGGACGGGGAGACTGATGCTCTCGGTGCTGCGTTATAGCAGTGCATCTGATGAGTACGAGTGGACTGGGCTTTAACTTACTGGGGCCGTTCCCGATGGACACTGGCGGCCAGAAGCAAGCAGAGCCAAGCCCCAGCAGCTCTGCCAGTCCCCCAGGGGCTGCTCGGCTCTGGCCATCTAGCAGCAACATAAGGTTGCCAGCTCTGGGTTGGGAAATACCTGGAGACTTTGGGGTGGATCCTCAGGAGGGCAGGGGGTTGGGGAGGGACCTCAGCACAGTAAAACACCACAGAGTCCAACCACCAAAGCATCCATTTTCTCCATGAAGACTGATCTTTATCAGTTAGAGAGCCATTGTAATCACAGGAGATTTCCAGCCACCACCTGGATGTTGGCAGCCCTACAGCAATGGTGATCCGTGTCGGCTCACCTGTTGACCTACCTCAACACTGCTGCTGGTTGGCTTACTTCCACAAGGGGGCTTACTTCCACTTACCTTGGCTTCTTTCTCTGCCATTTTAACCCTACAGCCCGGCATTGCTGGTAAAGTGGTACCGATAAAGCTCACAAAAGTTTGTGCCGCAATAAATGCGTTTGCCTTTAAGGTCTCACAAGACCAGTGGTCATATTGACTGCCAATCGAGTGACATGGCCACCCCTGTGGAATGTGTTATATCTGTGCTGCCATACCACTTTCTTCAAACGTGCACTGGGCCTCACAAATCACAGCCTGTATTAACAGCGTTCCGTGCGCCTTGGTGTTTAGTCATGCCGGCCACATGACCACAGAAATGTCTTCGGACATCGCTGGCTCTTTGGCTTTGAAACGGAGATGAGCACCGCAACCCTAGAGTCGGATTTGACTGGCTTTCGAGCAAGGGAACCTTTACCTTTTTATTACACATGGAACAAAGCTTGAATGATCACGCGGGGTCTTAATGTGCATTCCCCCCTTAAAAAAAATCTTATAATGAATGTAGATACAGCCATTGTAGGGCTACCTTCCTACTTTGGTTTTTATTTTTTTAAGGTTTTACAAAATGGATACTGTGCAATTCCTCCGTGGTTCGCTGTGTCTTCCCAATACTGTTTATGCGTTCTTGGACTTGCAGCACAGGCTGCTCAGAAGCTAGCACTGGAGAAGGTTTTGTGAAGTTCCCATAGGATGGACTCTCAGATATCATATCTAATGGCTGATCATTGAGACCTGTGGATAGGGAAGGAAGATGAGAGGACATCATCAATGAAGGATGAGAGAAAAAAACAATTGACAGTTGCATCTGACCATTGTACCAATTGTGCTAGCTAAAGTTAAAAAAAAAATAAACACAGTGCAGATACATGGTTGCACTGATGAAATAGTTCTTTTCGGAGCTGGTTCCGGGTTCAAACATTCACTGGGTGAGGTGATCCATCTTACAACTAGGTAATATTTCTAATTTGGTCATGCTGTGGTATTTTAAGACAAGTCTCATCATTCTCCCTAAATTCTGTGAGTGGAGCTTCATATTCAGCCAAATAAAAAAGAAAGCGTACCAGGTAGGATATTATGTTCTGGAATTTACCTCAGACATCTTCAAGACTGAAGTATGTCCCAACCAATGTTCCCTCTAAGCTGTAGAGTCCTGTGAGCAAAAATTCTACTTTGTGAGCTACTGGCATTAAATTTGTGAGCAGGTGATTTGGCTACTGCATAAATTAGTGTGTTCTGGAGCCCTCCTTCCTGAGCTGAGACAAAAATGTGTGAGCCGGAGGCTAAAAAACTGTGAGCTAGCTCACACTAACTCAGCTTAGAGGGAACACTGGTCCCAACTGAAAACTACAGCTTTTTGGCCTGGCCTTCCCAGCATTTCATGGGTGAAAGTAGGGACAATCTTGTGTTCTTCCGTCACCCCACGTCTCTTGCACTAAAAATTAATGCCTGAGCTTCTGTGCTACCCATTGCTTTTCACCTGTAAATTAAACTGACACTAACATTTTAAACGTCAATTTTAAAAAAATAAAGAATTTGTCAGGTTTATGTCAGAATGGATATTGTTGTACACATTGTAGAATAGCTGCAACTTGAATACATTCAGCAGAATTTAGTAATTTAGCAATCTTACCAAAAGATCTGTGTCCCACCGTGACAGAAATAAAAGGCCCACTTTTTCCGAGAAGGACATGTGTATGTTTACAGACAATGTTATTATATTTATCTTTTACAGTATCATTGAAGAAAATAAAAGGGGTTACTGCTATCATAGCAGAACAGGTAGATAATCCATGGCAAATCCTCGGCTTAGAGAGAGTGAGTTCTTAGCAATTGTTAAGAAAACCCCGTAGCCTACCTGGACTACTTCTGCGTATCTCCAGTTGAGGACCACCGTATGTTTCAGATGGCAGACATTCTGCATGCACAGCAAATCTCCATTATGGCACCATAGTGTGAGGACATTATTTGAATCCACATGATTACTCACAATCCCCTACTGGGTATGTGTATAAGAGCTCTTTGGTAGGGCAGACAGAAGAATTCACAACTGTGAGGGAAACACCTCATCTGTCACAGAAGTCACCGATTGTGTTGTTTCCTGTTCAAACACGACTGAAGTCTTGGCTTTACAAAATGTATCCCTGATTCCCTCGGTTGATCGGGACCTCCCCCACCAAGTGAGCAAGGTACTTGTCACGGGGAGGTCATCTGGCACGAAATCGCCTTTGTCAGCCGGCAACCCACAGTGGCTGTTCAAGTTCACCTTGAGGCTGAGTCACACAATGTATCAGCATTAGTCATCATGTTGACAATGAGATTTGTGAAGGCTGTGGGAGCTGTTCTTTTATTTATATTTAAATTCCATAACACCGTTTCTGAATAAAACAAAATTAGCAATGGCCTTCTTATCTCATGCGCCGGTCTTATCACTTTATGACTACCACTAACTGGTTCTGCAATTAAGCTTCAAGGGAAACTTAAAACCACCATTTCTGACTGCTCTGCACTGATAAAAGCTTATCTCCTGCTACCTTGCCACCCATGGACAGGTACTTCGCTCACTCAACAGGGAAGATCCTGATAAAAGCTTCAGGTGACCTACCTGGAACAGGGAAGGGGCTGTCAAAAACCCTCCTCTACAAGAGCCACTTCTTTGCTTAATCGGATGTTTCATGCGTGATATCAGGCCTGGACATTTGCTTAGCAGCATTTTAACACCTTTTTTTGGCAGTCGAATCACAGCTGATTTTTGGCAACCCCATAGGGCTTTCAAGGCAAGAGACATTCGGGCGTGGTTTGCTATTGCCTCCCCTCTGCGTCAGGGCCCCTGGTATTCCCTGAAGATATCCCATCCAAATACTAGCCAGGGCCTGCTTAGCTTCCGAGATCTGACAAGATCAGGCTAGCCTGGGCTATCCAGATCAGGGCTTTACAGGGCCAATGAGTGCCTCTTCCTTCCAGCAGTTTATGACCTGCACTGGACGAAAGCCTCTGCTCTGCAGTCTCCTAAACAGTGCAAGAGCAACAAAGGTGATTACTCACAGATAAATATGCTCAAAGACATGTATACATTAGTAGACGTACAAACGTGTGGTTTATATATGCAGTCCTAAATGGACTCCTACCCTGCTAAGCACATTGATTTCAACAGACTTATAAGGGGGAACTCTGGTTAGGACTGCGCTTACAGTCTCTGCAGAGGATGGTAGACTTCCAGCAACATACAAAAATTCTCCGTCCTTTATCATTTTGGGGAGCACAGGTGGTCAATATCTCTGGGGTTGAGGGGACAGGCATGAAAGACTGGCATCCGGCAAGGTATCCTGTCTGCGTTCTCATTCGGGTCGTTGTCGAGGACGTTGAAAATACAACCATTTGAATCAATGCTCCCTCTAAGATGTGGAGTCCTGTGAGAAAAAATTCTACTTTGTGAGCTACTGGCATTAAAGTTGTGAGCGAGCAATTTGGCTACTGCATAAGTTAGTTTGCTCTGGAGCCATCCTTATGAGCGAAGACAAAAATGTGTGAGCTGGAGTCTAAAAAACTGTGAGCTAGCTCACACTAACTCAGCTTAGAGGGAACACTGATTCAAATATAGCACATAAGCTTTTGAGTTATCTTTTCCACAACAGTGTGGCTGTGAGCACAGCCGTTCTCCCACCAGATTGTCAACATCAGTGTTGGCCCACTGTATGTTTTTTTTCTTTGAAACATGCTCTTCACATCCACTAAGGGCGTATTTTGTAAATGGGACCGGGGATTGGGGGGGGGGGGAGTATGAGAAGTCCTTTCGCCCCAGTCAGTAAATCAAGCCGGTTATTTCTGCTGCTCAGCGATAACATGTTTTAGTGCTCCTAACAGGTCTCATTAAGCTGAAGAAAAGGCAGCATATAAGGAGGAGGAGTGTAACAGGTTTTAGCTGTTACTTTCTATAGAGAGAGAGAAATTGCCAGAATTACAACCCACAAAAGGCTGTCTGCGAAAGGCGAAGCAGGAAGGCTATGGAGTCTTTTTTTTGGGGGGGGGGAATCGGTGCTTTAACATGCCAAGGATTTATTTGAGCAACACGAGTAAAGTCTTGCACCACATTAACTTGGAAACATGATATTAAAAGGAGACGGCTTTCTGATTCTGTGATGATCCGGTTGACCCTATTTCTCAGAACAGCCACTCTGAATACATGCAGGCAATGGCACAGGGGAGCCGTTTTGGAATGCAGATTTGACCCTTAGAGACCAAGAAGATTTGGGGGTGTGTGTGTGTTTATAAATAAGCATTCGAGAGTCAAAGCTCCCTTCGTCAGATACTAGTCAGAATTAAGGTCCGTATATAAGGACTTGGGGATCTTCATTCCGACTTTTTTATTTATTTCTTATTTCAATTTATATCCCGCCTTGCCGGACAAGCTGGCTCAAGGTGGCGTACAGACACTAGAATGCAATAAAACAGTAAATACAATAAAATTCACATGAACATCATAAATTACTTATAAGAACAATACAGGTGGTGGCGGCATTCAGTATACCATCCAATGGTGGAAGGCAGTATCCAACGGTGTGTCATAGGGCCGTGGGATGTTCCAGTGACACATTCGTCAGTGGCGGCTCCTAATCGAAAGCCTGGTGGAAGAGCTCTGTTTTACAGGCCCTGACTTCCAGGAGCTCATTCCACCAGTGTGGAGCAGCCACTGAAAAGGCCCTGGCTCTCGTAATGGCCAACCT